GAGATTTTCACACAAACTAGTTTCCCGCGATTCCAATTCGGCGAGGGCGGGGGCTACACAGAGGCTTCCTAGGTCGGCCACGCCCCTTCTCTCACGCATCCTAGCCCCGCCCCATTCCCGGCCGCCTTTGCGCTCACGCGCCTGCGCCCCCTCTCCTCCCCCTCTCCAGTTTCTGGCTGGAGCCAGACTTGCCTGTCGGAGGGGCGTGCGCGCGCGCGCCCTCGCCCTGTTGCGCGCTGGTGTCACCTTGGGCGCGAGCGGGGCTGTGCGTGCACGGGACCCAAAGCCGAGGGCCATCAAGGGGCGATGGCGGCGACGGCGAGTCCCGGCGCTGGCCGGATGGACGGGAAGCCCCGTACCTCCCCTAAGTCGGTCAAGTTCCTGTTTGGGGGCCTGGCTGGGTAAGCTCAGGCCCCAGGGATGGGAGAAAGGAGGAAGGGACGGGCGCAAGCAGCTGGGCCCAGTGCATCTCGGGGTATGTTCCAGTAAATTGAGCCGGTGGGGGCTCACCGTGATGTCCAGAGTATTGCGAGGTCCCTGATGGGCTGCCAGGATCTGTTCACCCATTGCGGGGGCCCCTCCTGGGCTGGCTGCAGTCAAGGGTCATTGCCCCGGGTTTCCACCACCATTGCTTCACTGGCCTGTTTGTGTGGTGGGTCGAGGTTGTTAAAACGCTTTGTTAGAGGACTGCTTCCAAGCAGTCCTAGGTTGTGGATGCCCTCCACTCCTAAGTCAGACTGCCTGTGGTCTGATTCTGCTTGAACACTGAGGAACTGCCTGAACCGTTTTGATTTGCGTGGTCTTTACTGGACGTCTGAACTTCTTGTCTGGCACATTGCCCTTCGTGCACACACTGACATTCATGCCCACCAGCCTCCTGAATCCGTAGCTGCACGTCAGGCCCTGACCTTTGTAACTTCTTGCTGCCAGGTTGCAGCTGGGACCGCTGATCTCTGATGCCTTTCCTGTCTTACTGCTTCCCTTCAGGATGGGTGCTACCGTTTTTGTGCAGCCTCTGGACTTGGTGAAGAACCGGATGCAGTTGAGTGGCGAAGGGGCCAAGACTCGAGAGTACAAAACCAGCTTCCATGCCCTCACCAGCATCCTGAAGGCAGAAGGGCTGAAGGGCATCTATACTGGGTACTGGGGCCTCAAGTTGGGAAGGGAGGGTTGGGGTTGGCAGGTCCAGACCTTGGCTTGATAAGCTGTGCTGACATTTCTGCTTCTCAGGCTGTCCGCTGGCCTACTGCGCCAGGCCACCTACACCACTACTCGGCTTGGAATCTATACGGTGTTGTTTGAGCGCCTGACTGGGGCCGATGGGACACCCCCTGGCTTCCTGCTGAAAGCCCTGATTGGCATGACGGCAGGTGCAACCGGCGCCTTCGTGGGGACGCCAGCCGAGGTGGCTCTCATCAGGATGACCGCCGATGGCCGGTGAGTTCCAGGTCTGAGCCTGACTCCAGCCCCGTGCCTGGGATCTAGAAACGAAAGGACTAGGTTTTACATGTTTCTGTTAGCCGAGGTCTACAGCGGGGCGCTTAACCCGCTCAGGCCTGCCTTTCTCGGATCCTCTGGACCCTGAGCTATCCTGATCTTGGCTTTCCCCTGCCCTCTCCCCAGGCTTCCAGCTGACCAGCGCCGTGGCTACAAAAATGTGTTTAATGCCCTCATTCGAATTGCCAGGGAAGAGGGAGTCCCCACACTGTGGAGGGTGAGCACGAGAGGTTCGAGTCTTGGGGGATGTGGGGTCAAGTCTCTGGCTTTTTAACTCTCTCTCCGTTGCCTCCATTCTCTCACCTCCAGGGCTGCATCCCTACCATGGCTCGAGCTGTCGTGGTCAATGCTGCCCAGCTGGCCTCCTACTCGCAATCCAAGCAGTTCTTGCTGGACTCAGGTGAGAGACCCAGAGCTGAATACTCACTGCCCAGCCTGGCCTGAGCTCCCTGAGAGTTGACCTCCACCTACTGCTTCTTCACCTCCCAGGCTACTTCTCTGACAACATTCTGTGCCACTTCTGTGCCAGCATGATCAGTGGCCTGGTCACCACTGCCGCGTCCATGCCTGTGGACATTGTCAAAACGAGGTGAGTCTGTAGCCTGGGCCTGGAGCACTTTGGGGAGGCCTTCTTTCGTCTTTCTCACACATGCTTCCTCTCTTTCAGGATCCAGAACATGCGAATGATTGATGGGAAGCCAGAGTACAAGAACGGCCTGGTGAGGCGGCAGGGAGGGGGAGCCTGGGTCACGGTGTGGCGGGTGCCCTGGGAGGGATATTGAGGGAGCAGGGTATAGGGGACAGAGTCCTTGAGGCCAGGTCTTAGCCCCAGCACTTACCCGCCTGTCTGTCTAGGATGTGCTGATGAAAGTCGTCCGCTATGAGGGTTTCTTCAGCCTGTGGAAGGGCTTCACACCGTACTATGCCCGACTGGGCCCCCACACTGTCCTCACCTTCATCTTCTTGGAACAGATGAACAAAGCCTACAAGCGTCTCTTCCTCAGTGGCTGATGTGGCAAGGTCCTGGGACTAGAGTGCCAGGGCTCCCGGGTCACCTACTGCTCCTCCAGTCGGTGCGCCCTGGGGGCCTGATTCTGCTACCCTGGACTCCTCTATTTATTTTCCCTCTCCAGTGTGGTTTACTCCTTTGCGGTTAAGAACTTTAATCTCTTCCACCCCTGCTCCAGCTTGCCATGCCTGGCCTGATGCTTAGGATCGTTCTGTCCCTGGCTATTCCTAGGAGGACCTGAGAAACTTCCCTGAGGACTTCTAGTCGCCCGTTGGGTGTTAGTTTCAGGGCACACAAGACAACAGACCTCTCTCTCCGGGGAAACCAAGACAGAGCTGAGGAGATAGAAGAGAGCAGAAGCTATCCAGATGACCACAAGGGTCTGTGGTGGAAGGGTATGGCTTCCTCCTCCCTGAGGACAAAATTAATAAATTGGATTGATAACACCAACCCCAAATCTGGATAGTCTTGAGGATCCTAGGGGGAGCTAACTGCACAAAGAAGCCAGTGTCTCTGGAAAACAGACTGGAGTTTTTAAACAAAAAAATATTAAAGAAAATCACCGACTGGTTTTATGAAAATACTACCTAAATAAGTCGTGCCTCAGCAGCTGACAGAGAGAGAGAGAGAGAACTGGGCCTTGTACGTGGCTTGCAAGCCATTTGCCCAAAACTGCAGCAGCCTTACGAACCATATCACAGTTCTCAGGGAAGGCCTCTGGGATCTCATGACTGCCTTTTCAGGGAAAAGAGGGAGGGGATGCGGAGTGTAACTGAAGTAAGTGGGGTGTGGCAGCACACGCCTTTAATCTCAACCCAGGAGGCAGAGGCAGGCAGTTGTCTGTTCAAGGACAGCCAGGGCAACACAGAGAAACCTGTCTCAAAAAATTAAAAATGAGAGCCGGGCAGCGGTGACCCACACCATTAGTCCAATGAGACAAAGGCAGGCCGATCTCTGAGTTCCAGGCCAGCCTGCTCTACAGCACAAGTTCCAGGAAATAAATTTAAAAAGAAAAAATACTAAGTTGGACTTTTGTGGGATGGACCCACAGGGGTTGAGAGAGAAGTCCAGATCTCTTGAGGGTGCACACTGGAATGCAACCCAAGGATTGAGGAAAGAAAGAATATTGATCAGAAACTGGGTTGGATGGGGAAAGGGATTTATTTGTCATCCATTTCTTAAGTATGATTCCCAGGCCCTGAAGGATCCTGCAAACTTCTTGGACCATAAAAAGATACGGGAAGGTCAAACTGGGGGGGGGGGGGCACGGCGAGTGCTGGGCAGCCTGAGGGCTGCGTGCCAGGCCAGAGAACAGGCAGGCAGCAGGTGCGAACTGTGCCCTTGGCAGAGCCTCAACACATGATGGTGCTGCAGTGTGCTGGGCCCCCTGCCATTCCTGCCCCTAGTCCTTCCATGCACACTGTCCTAGGCCATCCGTGGGGGCTGCCTGGACACATTTGAAGCCCTGCACCTAGAGGAGTTTGAAGATGATGACAAGGAACATTTGGGAGTGCTGTAGCAGGGGACTGCACCGTGCCCAGCTGAGGACAGAACTGGTTAGCGGTAGCAGTCAGGTTTAGGAGGAGGGCAGAGGGCAGAGGCAGAACTCCTAGCTAGAGTGAGGCCAGGCTCAGAGGAGGAGCCCTGCTCACACAGGTGACCCATGAGACATGCAGTGGGCCAAGTACACAGTGCCAAGGGAGATGAAGCTGGACTGGTGGGCGGAGTCCATGAAGAGAAGTCCTTGATGGCTGACCTCTGAGGTTTGCCCTCCACCTGGAAGAGTTGAAGGCACGAAAGGGATTCAGTCAGGTTCACAGGAAGGTCTAGAACCATCTGGAGAAGGGCAGTCTGTAGAGCCAGAAAGATGCAGACTTCCCTTCTCTGGGCCCCAAGCCCGGGACTGAACAGAGATGAGGTGTGGAAGAAGGCCTCATTGGTGAGATTAGCAAATGGCAGAATCAGTGGATTTGGGGGAGAGGAGGGGCCTGTTACATCCAGCTTTGCAGGCAACAGACCTAAGACTCTCCAGTCAAACTCACCAGGATGACACCCTTTCCCAGTCCTGACCTGGCCAGTGTGGAGACTTGTGCTCTGGAGGTTGTGGGTCTGAGGAATGTACCCACCTCTGCTGCAGGCAGGCAGGCTTTAGCACTGGCTCTCAGCTCTAGGGCATTGTTCTATTCTGGAGGTGATGTTTGAGGTAGCCTGGGGGGTCCTCAAATCCTGCAGAAGAATCGCTAAGGTAGAGGAAGTACCCCTTACGTCCACCTACCCACCCTCAGCTACAACTGGAGGTTTGTTGGGTGGTTGGGGTCAGGGTGGGGGCAGCTAGGACTTGGGAAGTCTTGTACTAGGTGTTCCAGCTGTTCTCAAATCCCAAAGAAAGATACATTCTTTTTAAAAACATTTTTATTATACAGGAAATGCTGGTGGAAAACTAAGACGTGTTACAGAAAAAAAATATTCATGATACCTAGGGATAGTGCTCCTGTCTTGATAATGGCTTTCCAAGTTTTCTTAGTGGGAACAATGCTCCATTTCGTTCTTTTTTTTTTTTTTTGTTAATACTTTGAATTCTTTTTATTTTTGATCCCTTTTATCTCTTAATTTATTTTCATGTGCATTGGAGTTCGGCATGGGTGTTTGGTCCCCTGGACCTGGAGTTACAGACCATTGTGAACTGCTATGTGGGTGCTGGAATTGAACTCAGGTCCTCTGGAAGAGTAGTCAGTGCTCTAAATCTCTGAGCCATCTCTCAAGTGCCCCATGTCCATTCCTATTTGCTGTTTCTAGCTCTTTCCCAAAATGGTAGCAGTGACCATATGGCCTGGCAATTCTGTAAGCAACATAGGGAACTTGATTCAATGACCACCTGGTTCCATCACCTCACTGCCTCTTGATTAGTGAGCTCTGGATGTAAAGAGGGGGCTTCAGATAAAGAAGTAAATAGAATGCCCCTGTGGCAGTCTCATCTACCACTGCCCCCACCTCCCCACTCCCAGCTAGATCCCAGTAGAGTCTTTTGAGTGTTTCAGGATCTCCAAAGGACTCACCTTCACAGACTGTGGCCTGAGTACCTAATACCCACTGTTCCCAATAGGTCCTGACCACGACCCTGGCTCAGAGCTGAGGGCCTTCGTCCTGCTACCAGAGGCCCTACACGCCCATTAGGCCTCACCCATAGGAACAGGCTGGAACGGAAAGTGGGGGGTGACCCTTGAAGGAAGAGCAGCCAGGCCCGGGGGACGGTTACTTGTCTTCCCCTCTGCACCTCCAGATTTGTGGTGTGTGTGCTGGTGGCCAAGGCGGCAGAGAGGCCCAAGTCCAGAGAGTGTGGATTTACGTGCCAGGTCCAGATCAGCAACAAGATGAGTACCACAGAGGCAAACAGGAGCCAGAGGAGACCCAGAATATAGAAGCCCAGGGGGAGGAGACAACAGAACTCAGAGTTGACAAAAGGATCGCTTTTGAAAGTGTCAGAATTCCCTTGAGCCATCTCGTGGACAGTTAGGAAGCTGTTCAACTCTGGGGTTGTTGTGATGGATTCTAGGAGTAAAGAGAGTTCTGTGGTAAAGAATAGTTCTGAACTGGTCTCATTTGGGATAGACGCCCAGGTGGTAGTGAACGCTGGGGTGATGGTGGACACTTGAGTGGTTGGGATGGTGCTGAGCTCTGGGGTGGTTGGGGTAGTGCTGCTGGGGTGTGGGGGAGCCAGGGTGGGGGTGGTTGGGGTAGTGCTGCTGAGGTGTGGGGGAGCCAGGGTGGGGGTGGTTAGGGTAGTGCTGCTGGGCTGTGGGGGAGCCAGGGTGGGGGTGGTTAGGGTAGTGCTGCTGGGGTGTGGCGGAGCCAGGGTGGGGGTGGCTGGGGTCGTGCTGCTGGGTTCTGGGGGAGCCAGCGTGGAGGTGGTTGGGGTCGTGCTGCTGGGCTCTCGGGGAGCCAGGGTGGAAGTGGTGGGCTCTGGAATAGTCAGAGTGGAGGCGGTAAGCATTGGTGTGGTGCTGGGCTCTGAGCTAGTCAGGGTAGAGGTAGGCTCTAGGGTGATTGGGGTGATGATGGGTATAGTTTTGGGTTTTAGACTATAAGTGTGTACATTGGGTTTCATGCTCTGTGGGAGTGTGGTGAAACGAGGGATTTGTATGTGTGTGGATGTGTCCTGTTTGTTAGTGGGTTTGTGGGTTGGAGGCCAAGAAGGCATTTGACTGTCTGGAGAAGTAGGAGACTCTAAGAGTAGGCCCCTGTGGGTAGTGTGGGCTTTGGTGTTAGTAGAGAACTTGACCTCAGCCCTGGTAGCAGGTACATCAGAGAAATTATCATAGTCATCATAGTCTATATCCTTATCCCCACTGACAGGGCAGCCCTTCCCTGCATAGGAGTAGACAGGTGCAGAGCCCAAATTGACACATCGTACACTGGCCACATTAGGGGTCATGGCCTTGACATCCACACCCTCCTTCCATAAGTAGACATTGTTGGAATTTTGCTGGAGCCAGTTGCGGAAGTAGAGGATATCACAATCACAATACCAGGTGTTGCCATGGAGAAAAACAAAAGGCAAGAGGAGGGTCCCAAAGAAGCCCTTTGGGATTGTA